CTAACCCAACTGAGTTGGGGTCTCAGACAATTCACTCACATGATTACAAAGACAGACAGAAACTCCCGGATTGGAGAGGGCTCCCCTGAGGGCTCCCAGATTGGAGAGGGTGGCAGGTCGGGCTGAGGGACCCCCCCACAACCCCCAGTGCACGAATGTTGTGCACCGGGCCTCTAGTTTATTCATAATAGGTACTGTAATCTTTCATGTAAATCAGTCAATATCTACAAGATCATTTTGGAAACTTTAAAACTTTATAATGTAAGATAGTTATTATTAAAAAATTTTTACTAGCAACATTCCAGGTGTTTTTCTACTTAAATTGTTTGATGATTTTATAAAGCCAAGAGCAAATGAACACACAGAAAAAAAGTTAAGAGGCAAGTTACCTCATGTCCTTGGTAAATGTAGATTGTTATAAATTTCAGTGCATGTTTTAAACTCTCCTTGGAACAAAAGTGTCTTTGTTATAATTAAAATTACCTTTTAAAATTCTGTTGAAAAGCATCTTATTATCTGTATAATTAATTAATAATCAGTTGTACATATATATAATTAGATTTTTATTTTTATATAGATTTAAAGCTATGCAAATTTATTTCTTCATATGTCATTCTTAGTAGGTTGTGTTTTCAATAAATTTATATATTTCATGTAGTTCTTCAAGCTTAGTATCACAAAACTGAATTTATCAGCTTTCTCTCCAAACCTATTATTTATCCTTCAGTGATGTCTTTACCATCCTGTTCCATCAAGCCAGAAATTAAGTCAATGTTGACTTCTCCTGTCTTTCCTTCTCCATACTCGCTGAGCTCCGTGCATCTAGCTCTTAGCAATAATTTCCAAACTCATATTTCATTTGTATCTGTTCTGCTGTGGTTGTTCAAGCCCTTAGTGATTCTTATCTAGACTGAATCACAGACTCTTTGAAAAGTCTTGCCTCCACAGTAACAGGTGACCATCTCTAATCTCTCCTCAATTTCTAGAGTTGTTTCTCTTAAAGAGAATTCATTTACTCAGCAGTATTTTTCTTCTATAAGAGGAATACATTTGTTTAATAAATTCCTGTCTGTAAATCAAGATATCATCTCCCTTTAGAAAATGAAATTATGGTTCCCTTTAAAGAATTAAAAGTGAATTTCAAATAGCTTTAACTAGTATATTATATTGGTTTAAATATATTAAGCTGCTTTATTTTTACAATGCTGAAGTTTTGTTAGCGTAATTTGACCAAATTGCATCTTAAGGTTTAAGCAATTTATTGACAACCTGACATTTAATTTGACAACATGTAAAATAATGTTACTTAAAGGCCATGACAGGTGATATTCTAATTGGATATGAATATTCAGACCCCTAATTAAAGCTAGTATATATTTAGTTATGCAGGTGGAAAAATATATACAATTTTTATATGAAAATGATCAGCTGTAGAAGCAAACAAATCTTATTTGTTGCTTCCTGCACTTTTTTTCCCAATCATTTGAGAGTTCAGAAAATCTTAACATGCCTTTATGGATATGTCTGTAAGACTGTCTAATGCTTATCACTGAAGTTGAGAGGAGCACAGAGCCACTACAATATGTCCCATTTGTAAACTGGAAAATGAAATTGTTTCTCTGCTATCAGTGTGTTATAGAAGGAAAAGAAAACTGATTTCTATACTAACAGGTATGGGTTTCTTAGTATTAGTTCATGTATCATTGATTTATTTGCTTATTAGTTTATTATATACTGAAGACATTTTCTTTGAGTGTATGGCAACTTCTATAATTATTTTCAAATGATGACATCTATTTTTCTGTCTCCTCTAGGTTTTCGAAAAATAAGTTTAGATGACCTTCGGAAGGCATATATTGTTAAGGATGTGCAACAGTACATTCTCCATCGTTTAGATCAAGAAGAAGCTTTGCGACAACACCTTACAAAAGAAACTGCAGAGATGTTAAATCAACTGCACATTAAAAGCAGCGGGTGCTTTCTTTATCTAGAACGGGTTCTAGATGGAGTTGTAGAAAATTTTATTATGTTACGAGAGATCCGTGACATCCCAGGAACTCTAAACGGTCTCTATCTCTGGCTGTGCCAAAGACTTTTTGTGAGAAAGCAGTTTGCAAAGGTTCAACCTATTTTGAATGTGATTCTTGCTGCCTGCCGACCTTTGACCATAACGGAATTATATCATGCAGTATGGACCAAAAATATGTCATTAACCTTGGAAGACTTTCAACGCAAGTTAGACGTGCTCTCCAAACTCCTTGTTGATGGACTAGGAAATACTAAAATCCTATTTCACTACAGCTTTGCAGAGTGGCTTCTGGACGTGAAACACTGCACACAGAAGTATTTATGCAATGCAGCAGAAGGACACAGAATGCTGGCTATGAGTTATACCTGCCAAGCCAAGAATCTAACACCATTGGAAGCACAAGAATTTGCATTGCACTTAATTAATTCAAACTTGCAGTTGGAGACAGCTGAGTTAGCTCTGTGGATGATATGGAATGGTACACCTGTCAGAGACTCCCTGTCAACCTTAATACCCAAGGAACAAGAAGTGTTACAGCTGTTGGTAAAAGCTGGTGCTCATGTGAACAGTGAAGACGATCGCACATCATGCATAGTCCGTCAAGCCTTAGAAAGAGAGGATTCCATTCGGACCTTACTAGATAATGGAGCTTCAGTAAATCAGTGTGATTCAAATGGGAGAACATTACTGGCTAATGCTGCTTACAGCGGCAACCTTGATGTGGTGAATTTACTTGTCTCTAGGGGAGCAGATTTAGAGATAGAAGATGCTCATGGGCACACACCACTTACCCTGGCTGCTAGACAAGGACATACCAAGGTGGTTAATTGTCTGATTGGGTGCGGAGCAAACATTAATCACACTGATCAGGATGGCTGGACAGCATTAAGATCTGCTGCTTGGGGTGGCCACACGGAGGTGGTTTCTGCGCTACTGTATGCCGGTGTAAAAGTGGATTGTGCGGATGCTGACAGCCGAACAGCTTTGAGAGCAGCAGCGTGGGGAGGACACGAGGATATTGTACTGAATTTGCTACAACATGGTGCTGAAGTCAACAAAGCTGATAATGAAGGTAGGACTGCTTTGATAGCAGCAGCATACATGGGACATAGAGAGATTGTGGAACACCTTCTGGACCACGGAGCAGAAGTGAATCATGAGGATGTTGATGGCAGGACTGCACTCTCTGTAGCTGCACTTTGTGTGCCTGCAAGCAAAGGACACGCGTCAGTTGTCAGCCTTTTAATTGATCGAGGTGCTGAAGTAGATCATTGTGATAAAGATGGCATGACCCCACTGCTGGTGGCTGCCTATGAAGGACACGTCGATGTGGTTGACCTGCTTCTAGAGGGGGGAGCAGATGTAGACCACACAGATAACAATGGCCGTACACCCCTCTTAGCAGCTGCTTCTATGGGCCATGCTTCAGTCGTGAACACACTTTTGTTTTGGGGTGCAGCTGTGGATAGCATTGATAGTGAAGGTAGGACAGTCCTCAGCATAGCCTCAGCCCAAGGCAATGTTGAGGTGGTACGTACTCTACTGGATAGAGGGTTAGATGAAAATCACAGAGATGATGCTGGATGGACACCTTTGCACATGGCAGCTTTTGAAGGTCACAGATTAATATGTGAAGCACTTATTGAACAAGGTGCTAGAACAAATGAGATTGATAATGATGGACGAATACCTTTCATATTAGCTTCACAAGAGGGTCATTATGATTGTGTTCAGATATTACTGGAAAATAAATCCAACATTGATCAAAGAGGTTATGATGGTAGAAATGCACTGCGGGTGGCTGCGCTAGAAGGACACAGGGACATTGTTGAACTGCTTTTTAGCCATGGAGCTGACGTTGATTACAAAGATGCTGATGGTAGGCCTACCCTTTATATTTTGGCCTTAGAAAACCAACTTACAATGGCTGAGTATTTTTTAGAAAATGGTGCAAATGTAGAAGCAAGTGATGCAGAAGGAAGGACAGCACTTCATGTTTCCTGCTGGCAAGGCCATTTGGACATGGTGCAGGTTCTGATAACCTACCATGCTGACATCAACGCCGCAGACAACGAAAAGCGATCTGCCTTGCAGTCTGCAGCGTGGCAGGGCCACGTGAAGGTGGTGCAGCTTCTGATTGAGCATGGAGCTGTTGTGGACCACACTTGTAATCAAGGTGCAACTGCCCTCTGCATCGCAGCCCAGGAAGGGCACATCGATGTCGTGCAGGTTCTCCTAGAGCACGGTGCTGATCCCAACCACGCAGATCAATTCGGACGCACTGCTATGCGCGTGGCAGCTAAAAACGGACACTCTCAGATAATTAAATTATTAGAAAAATATGGTGCATCTAGTTTGAATGGCTGTTCCCCCTCTCCTGTTCACACAATGGAGCAGAAGCCTCTACAATCCGTGTCTTCAAAAATGCAGTCGTTAACAATTAAATCAAATAGCTCCGGCAGTACTGGCGGAGGGGACATGCAGGCTTCACTGCGTGGTTTACCGAATGGGCCAGCGCACGCCTTCAGTTCTCCCTCAGAATCTCCAGACTCTACAGTCGATCGTCAGAAGTCATCCTTGTCCAATAATTCTCTGAAAAGCTCAAAAAATTCATCTTTGAGAACTACTTCGTCTACAGCAACGGCTCAAACTGTGCCAATTGATAGCTTTCACAACCTGTCGTTTACTGAGCAGATCCAGCAGCATTCGCTGCCCCGCAGTAGAAGTCGACAGTCCATTGTGTCCCCGTCTTCCACAACACAGTCCTTGGGACAGAGCCATAACTCGCCCTCGAGTGAATTTGAGTGGAGTCAAGTCAAGCCCAGTTTGAAGTCAACGAAAACAAATAAAGGGGGGAAATCAGAAAATTCCAGCAAATCTGGGTCAGCTGGGAGAAAGGCTAAACAAAATAACTCCTCACAGCCAAAGGTTTTAGAATATGAAATGACTCAGTTTGATTCAAGAGGGCCTGCAGCCAAACCCGGGTCCAGCACGCCCCCTAAACAAATACCCGCAGAATCTCAGTGCAAAATTATGATACCGTCTGCGCAGCAGGAAGTTGGACGATCGCAGCAGCAGTTTCTCATTCACCAACAAAGTGGGGAACAGAAGAAGAGAAATGGAATAATGACAAACCCAAATTACCATCTTCAGAGCAACCAGGTGTTTCTTGGTCGGGTTTCCGTCCCAAGAACAATACAAGACAGAGGGCATCAGGAAGTGTTGGAAGGGTACCCTTCGTCAGAGACGGAATTGAGCCTTAAACAAGCCCTGAAGCTTCAGATCGACGGTTCTGACCCTAGTTTCAACTATAAGAAGGAGACACCATTATAACAGGTAACATTTCATCAACATAAAGAATAAAATGCCAAAAGTCTGATTGCCTTTACTTAGGAATTTGAACTTTCCCAGCTCGAGCACTCCCTTTCCGACTTTTATTGTCCCAAGTACTTACTATTTCACATACTTTACATGTTTTATTTATTATTGTGTTTATTATTTGTTTCCTTCCAACTTAAATGTAACCTTTGTGAAGGTAGGGATTGTTACCTGTTTCACTGCTATATTCCATGCATTTGGGATACTGCTTGGACTTATAGTAGTTCCTCAGTAAAAAATGTGTTGAATAAGTGAATGAATGAATGAATGAATGTACTATTTATGGATCTCAGATTAAGAATTCCTTCTTACACAATCATTTTCCTTCTTAACATTTATTTGATGGTAACAGAAGGAAGGGCTATTTCTGTAATACTCCTTGGTTTTAATAAAATAGTATATGTAGTGCTTAGTAGATAGATAGTAAATATTAATTTCCTAACTTTTCACCCAAGGAGTCAAAGATTTAATCAGCAAAAGGTAATTTTTAGTAGGACAAATTCTTAAGACTCTTTAAGTAAAGTATACACACACCAAGAATAGGTGTGAAAAGAAGATTAATGGCTATAATGGCAAGAGAGTTTTTAGGTCCCACTATATTTAGACATAAGAATTAAATGTTTAAACCTCAAAATAAATTCATATTTATTAAATAAAAACACTTTTTTCTTCTTCCCACCTCAGTGGATGATTCATTAATTATATAAGGGAAGTTAATGGGAAAATAGATAACATGATTTTATATTATCAATACTTTTTTAAAAGCACATTTTTGATATTGGAGATAGATCAAAGATTTCATTAGGAATATTTTCCTACTTTTATTAAGGTATTTTTATCCCAGTTTACTTAATTATTTTTATCCTCTATTGTACTCTTTCCTTTTAGAAAATGGAAATCTCTTATGTTTCTTTTGTCTTTGGAGATACAGTATTTTAGGTGACACATTATCATAAATTTTGCTATACCTTCTAATAATAAACACTTCCATGTGACTCTAGGAACAACTGATCAAATCTCATTAAAAAACAACATGTACAAAGTAGTTAATTCGTTCCCCATTGTTGTTTATTTTAAAAATACTTAGTTCTGATAGTGTCGCTCTCCAACTCTCATGATATCTTTTGTAAAGGCAAAGTACATTAAACAGCAAAACACATGAATTAAGGTAAACATTTTGTGGAATCTTTAAAAGTGGTTTATAAGTTAAATAATGAATCTCAGGTAATCTACTTTTTTCTTTACATGGTAAGTAAATATAGTTAAATAATAAGTATAATGTAGAAATTAATATATTTTTCTTAACTTTTGCATTAGTTTCCTGTTCTGTGAGACAGAAGACATTGTGATTGGAGTGGTTCTTCAGCTACTGGATGGAAACATAACATGCCTGTTGATTGCTGAAAAAAAAAGAATGTGATATTTGCAGTTCAGTTACCTTAATTACTGTAATGTGCCTAATAGCAAGGCTGCCTTCTCAATGTAACCCTCTGTGCTTAAAAATGTCATTTAGTGTGCTTTGTATTCACTACACAAGAATAAGCACTTTTTTTTTTAAATGCAGGTATATTCTGCAGTTCCCTGTTAAAAGCTGAAAAATTTTTAAGTATTTTAAGTTAAGATTTGATAAATGTGCATGTGCCATGATCAAATATATATGAAAAGGCAGTGTTCCTTGTATTTATTTTTTTTTCTTTTTGTGGCAAACAAAAGTTAAGCCTACTGTTTCAGTCACATTTGCATTGCTGTAGTGTGTGGCTTGTTTCCTGTATCTTTAAAAATGTCACTCATTAAAATAAATCATGCAACTATTTATACTCACTACACCTTCAGCATTGGTTGAAAATGAACTTAAATCTATTTAATGCCATTGAGGTGAAGAAAAATGGTTTCTTCGTAGATTTAAAAATAATTTCTAGTATTTTAGGGAGCTGCTCTAAGTAGTTTAAATTTGGATTTCCCAGTAGTATCCTCCTAATTTCTGGCTACATGTGTCAAAAAGAAAAAAAAAAGACTATAGGCAGAACAAAGTTCTGTTTCATTCAATGGGGTACAATTTCACCTTCCATTCACTTGTCATTCCACCTCCAAGAAGACAGACTGATTCTTGAGGCATGGAACGTCTCAGGACACAGCCACGCTGCAGCCACATGTGCGTGGGAGGAGATATGCCTGTCTCTCTGAGGGTAGATTTTTGATCCCTGAACAATTCATTGACTACCCTTATCTCTACCGTCCAGCTGAATCAAATACAATTTACCAGTGTGAATTTTAATACTGGCTTCTCTCTCAGTTGCCTCTGTTTTGTAAATCACTGCATGATGGAGATAGCCCCACTCAAAGTCATTTGGATCAATTTTAGTGGTTAGTTTGATGAATATTCTTGAATGTAGTAAGTGCTGTCCTTCACAGATGATACCACTAACCTGTCAGTCATAACATGTGTATTTTTTATTATTATTTGATAAACACTTTTTTGTCCACATACTCTTTCCTGCTTTCTTCTTTGAACAATTGTTTGTGGGATGACTGAATACTATGGTTAAGGGTGAGGTCTGTGACCAAGGAAAACAAAGCTGACCGGCTCAGACGAGCATGTGACCCACAGCCGTGGCCTAGGTGGACTCTCACCCAGTGGGGCAGTTGAGTGGGTGAGTGTATGTCTGGAAAGGTTCGAATGTACTTAGAAGCCAAGGGTGTGGGTTTGGTATTTAAATAAGCCCTGAAAAATCTCACAAAATCCAGAAGTTCTGTTCTCCCCATATACTGTTGATAAGGAGGAGGAATGAGGAAAGAGAATTTGGAGATTTAGCACAAAACTTACTATTGGAAAAGAATATTTAGAAAATGTCTTAGTAACAGAGGTCAGTAATGTCATCTTAAATGAAGGATACATATGTAGTGCATTGTTCACAGAAACTAACGTGGAATTGGTTGTGATAAATGTTTCACTTGGATCTTTTATTAAAGTCAGCAACACTCATTTTGTTTATGTAATCAAGTCATAATCAGGAGTAGGAAATGCATTAATAAGTTCACTCGCTATTAAGGTGACATGGCAATATGGATAACTCGAATGTGAATGTTTCAAGTATTGAATTTTTGTCCCTATGGGACATTTATTAAATACACTTAATAGGACTCTTGCAAAGTAGCCTTAGAAGTGTTAATGATTCTATTAATAAATATGAATATACACTATTATGAGAACCATTCTTACTCATATCTCAAATACAGTACATTTACATTACTGTAGAAGATGAAGCTCTAATGTTTTATTAGGTGTATTTTTTTAAAATGCACCTTGTGGCCAAAGGGCAAAGATATGACTCATTACATAAGGGATTTATGTTTTTCAAAGAGCTAAATGTTTTCATGTCCACATTATATTACCACTTGAAACAATTGGTAGGAAGAGAACCTGTTGGAAAAAATAAGATGTTCAATATGATGTTTTCATATTGTTTGGAATAGGACAAAAACGGCCTTCAGTCAGACTGAGGATGAGAGGGTGCTGAGATGCCTGACTGCTGATTTCTCTCTGTACTGATTTAATACTATGATTGAAAATGGCTTTTAATCCTTAAGAAGAGTAAAAATAGTCCCCCAAATATAACTCCTAAATAGCTAATGTTCCATCCATGTCCATCCCTAAAAGTCATGAGGTGGTAAAAAGGGAAGTGATAAAAAAATACAGTACTGAAGAATGAAAACCTGAATGCTTGTAGGAAAGGTTTGACCTGAACTCTGTGTACTGTGTAGCACACAGTATCTTTTGTCCCTTATCCTTGCCCCTCTCCTACTGGAATCTTCACCAAAAATAATTCCTACTTAAAAAACAGGAGTAAATACTTTTCTCAATATTGTCTGGCTATGCAAATGTTTGTTTTCCTTCATGTCTTCATTTACATGTCTCAGTAAATATAGTTGCAAACAAATAGGTTTTTTTTTCCATTGGTTTGGGGTTTGTAAATAGCCTAAAATGTACATTGAACTTCACAATGTAAAAGTTTTATTTTATTTCTTGTATTATATTAAGCAAAAATCCCTATGTATATGAAAGTGCATAATAAATATATTTGCTTTACAGAGGATATCTTGTTTTAATTTTATTTTTGAACCGATAGAACATGCATGACATGTTTACAGTAAAACAACTGTTACTTGTTTTACATTATCAACTTATTTTAAATAAATACTGACCAAATGAATTTGGAACTATTTTTAAAAAATGAGACACGATTACTTTCCAAAGGAAGGCAGAGAAAAAGATCTAGCCTATAAATCTTTCCAAAAGCTTCTGTAAGGACTTAATGTTTGCTTCTCCGGACTTACACGATGTTTCACCATGTTAGGTGTCAGGCCCCTGAGATTGCACGAATCCAATAAATTGTGTGCATGTATGCTCCTTGACCATCAGAACATTATGGCCATCTTGCATTTGATATTTTGGAGTTTTATTGCAAACAAAGTCATTTATTTTCCAAATAAATTTCTGTGTATTCTTCACTCAGTAAAATCGAGTCACTTCTTCACAACCTTCTGCTTCCCCAACCAGAGCACAATGGTGTGTGTGTGTGTGTGTGTGTGTGTGTGTGTGTGTGTTCTATTACTCCAAAGAGAGGTTTCTAAAAAGGCCAGCAAGGTCTTTTTTGTTAGGTAATTTTACAATAATTATAGGGTTCAGTAACTACCTTATATTCTTTATATA